GCCAATCTTTCCGGAAACTGTGTTCCGCACTTATTCTAGAATTCTAGAACACACTTTGTTTTAACATACTCATCAAAAGAACCCAAACCACCTCCAAACTCAACATCCGATCAGCATTTTTTTTTCCACATTTGTTTTATTTAAACCACAAAATATAATTACAACTTGAAATATTCAAATCACGTTTGCACCATTTTCATAGTGTTTCAAATAAAGATGGCTTCAAAATCATAAAATTAAATTGCTAATATTTTATAAATAAATAACATAAAACCAAAATCTAAACAAAAACATATTTGCAGATGTCACCGACTTTTTGTGTGTTTAACATCCTGGTGATGAGGTTCGTGTTGTGATGACAAAAAAAATAGACAGAAAACACATGACACTGATATAAGAACACTTTACACACTCAGCTGTTGTGCTTTCACTTCCTGTTTACTGCATACTACCAACTTGACATGTGTTAAAAATAAAATAAACAAAGAACATAGAATAAAGTCACTTTGGAGTGTCTTTGTGACAACGCATGCATTTTAAATAAGTGAAATGAAAAATAAGAATAAGGCTACCTAACAATTTTCTTTACACAGGGTCAATAGCTGCTGCTGCCGTAAGTTTTATTCTGAAAAACCCTGCAGGAGTTCATTTCCACTACAGAATGATCTCCTTTTTAAAACTTTTTCACAAATTTCCTGTTCTACTAATTGTTGATTAGGCTTTGTTTCAGTGACAGCTGGACCACATTATAAAACACATTTATATTATACCCTATACTAACTATAATAAGTTAAATTGCTTGTTCTTAAATAAATCAATATATGAATTCCTTTAGTAATAACCCTTAGGACAGAGAGTATACTTCCCTTGTAAAACAGTCAAGATCAGAACAAAAACAAAGGGGGGAGGGGGTCTATTTTTCCAGAATGTTAATTGTTTTCAAAAAAGTCTAAAAAAGAAAAATCAACTCTCTCACTAACTCACAGACAGTGTAAACACATGCCATTTAAGGTGTGCATACACAGACAAAACCGCACCCTGCTTTTTTCAGAGCTACATGTTTTCATCAGAGTTGTCCTTCATCCTCCAACCACAACAGTGCTCTCACAACACGCTCAGACGGGTGTCGGGAGGGTGGAATACTGCATGCGAGCGCAGGTCAGAGGTCTGTACAGATGGTTTTGAAGCTTGAGGTGAAAGTGGGAGCTGTTTTCCTTTTTTACCATCACGACTATGCCTGGTCCAGTCAGGAGCTGTTCGATAGGCAGCCGCTATGTTCGTCTGTCTGTCTGTCTGTAGTTGTTAGTGAAGTACCCTCCCCTGGCTCTAGAGCACATCTCTTTGGACACTGTCATACCCTGTGGCGTTCATCCACGTGAATAAAAAAGAGGACTTAAAAATGGTGGTGAGAGGGGGCTTCAAGGAAGAACATTTTTTATATAGTTGCTACTTTTGATTTTTTTCCCTCATGTCCCCATCCACCCAGTGCCAAAAACGGGGGCTAAGTGAAGCTTGGTCTGGGGTAGATTGACTTGGGATGCTTTGCTACATCGGGGGAACACTGAATGCCCACCATCGCTGGAGAAAAAAAAATATACAAGGTCTATGATTCTAATTCTGGTCTTGTATGTATGCACATCCAGCAACTGTGGTTTGAGTCTTGTTCAGTCATACTGTAGCTTTTGAAGGTGGTTAGTATAAAGGGTTAGACTGCATTTGTGAGTTCAGACAGCGGAGTCAGATAGTGAGTTGGGTGGCTACCTCTGAAACTGTTCCCCCCTGAGGCAGGACAGGCCGGGGAGGGAGAGCCTTGTGGTCTGAGGACAGGAGCAAAAGCACTTTTCTGTTTAGCAGCAGATGGGAAGGAGGAGAAAGGCAGGAGAGAAGATGAGGAACTGGAGCTTCCAGGAATAGTGGGGCTGGAGGGCATGACTGTGGAACAAAGAGCATGGAGCGGTGTCAACATCTGAAAATATCCACCAACCAGAAGGTTAAGTGACAGACATTAGAGAACATTTAATGTCTTACTGTAAGGGGAACCAGTGGGGGAGGCACTGTTGAAACCAGGAGAACCAGGAACACCTAAGCTGGTCATAGGAACTGTCCCATAGCCTCCAGTCATCCCGGTGCTGCCCCCGTAGCCTGACTGCTGAGGAGTAGAGGCTGATTGGTAACCTCTTGGAGATAGACTGCTAGTGTTCCGAATGTAACCTGAGAAAAGACATTAACAACAAACAAAAAAATGTAAGGGTGTTGTTGAATGGCACTGTATATGACTGACGGCCTAAGTGTCCAATAGGAGCCTTCTTTATAGAATACAAGTGAAACTTTTCCACGGTTTTACTCCCAACTGTAAATTGCAGTGAGGGTCTTGCTTGTAAATCCGTGGTCTTTCGGCTCACCTTGGCTGCTCTGTCCTGGCTCCCCGATACTGACACCCAACTGAGAGGGGTAAGAGCCCAGACCCATCACACTCCCATGGGCAGGTGAACTTGGCAGTGCCTGCAGCTGACTGTGAGGACGGGGAACACTGTATAGAGCCTCAGCGATGTCGGCTGCACGCTTCAGCAACATGTCCTGTACCAAAACAAATACTGCAGTCAGCAGTGGTCCAGTGAAGTCATCATACAGTCTGATTTGGCTGTTTATTACACACACGTAAACAAACAAGTGTAAGCAGCACTACACCCAATTAGCCCATTAACTATGACATCGCTGACAGTTGTCAAGTCATGCTGGTACATTGGATTGTTTATCCTAAAATCCAACATCTGAACGTCTGAGAGTCATCTGCCAAAACCACATTCATGCGACAAACTTCCAGCACATTACAGTGTCTGTCCGCAATAATTGCATAATGTTTATTCTGCTGACTTTCAGCAGCTGCACTAAACCTCTAGCTAAATCCTAGTTAACACTTGACGACTAAAATCCCTAATTTAGTAATGTGTTAATTAAATTAACGTAACATATAAAATGGTTATCAACAGAGAATAGAATAAAATAAAGGACTCAATAATGGATAAAACCACAGCATAACAGCATAGCATCACTGTCTTCTTTTTGTCACATCACAATTAAGTGAATATTACACATTTTTTATTTTCCTGCCATTTATAAAGTCTGAAAATATTGTGTTTATGTATTTATTTTCTGGGAATTCAGTGATACCGTGTTTTGTTTCTACCTGGTTACTGTGAGGGTTCCCGTACAGAGCTTCCACCAGATCTGCTGCTCGTTTTAATAGGATCTCCTAAAATACACATATTGCATTTGCATCTTAATAATACTATTATTGTTAAGTTCCTTAGAAAACAAAATGAGTTGTATATTATTTAGGTGGTGAAAATCAATAGTCCACAGGTCTCTCACCTTGGCGAGTTTCTCTGGGTCACCAGGATGTCGAGGAATGACTTTCTGAAGACGCTGGAAGCCGTAGTCTATGGTTGGCTCATTAAGAGCTAAAAGTTGGAAGAAAATACACATTGGATCAAACCTTGGTCACGTCTTTAAACACCCAAATGTTTACATTGTTCCTTTAAATGACACAGCAATTTATCTTAATACCTGTGTAGATGAAGCGTCCAGGAGCTCCCTTGCAGAACTGTTTAGATTTGTAAGACAGTGTGACCTCCACTACCCCTGGGATGTGTCGCGGAGGTGTTTGCACACGGATAGCGTGAGGTGTGATTAGCTGAAGATACAAAACAGAAACTTCTGCATATCAGGGAAATATTTCGCTAACACAAACCAAGCAGAAGGATTGTCTCTCTCTCTCTCTCTCTATCTCTCTCTATCTCTCTCTCTATATATATATATATATGTGCGTGTGTGTGTGTGTGTCCCCAGTGGTAAGGTTTTAAAGAAGGGTTTTACCTCACTCCACACCAGCATGCTCCCAAACACCACCTGCAGCCCGTCAAAGAAGTTCTCCCCTATGACAATGACCATGGCTCCTCCAGTGGTCCAGCCTTCACTGGGGCTGATGGCTTTAATACATGGTGTCGCTACACGGGAGAGGAAACAAATAGCTATTCAATTGTTGTTGTTTTCTCAAGTGACAGAAATTAATTGTGTGTTATAAAACGTCATAGTACAACAACAGAAAAAAATAATCTGTTATTACAAATTCTAGTTTTCTAGTTTTTCTCTTTTCCATTCTTTAATGCAATGATGCTTTTGTTATTAATTATTTATCTTTGTTATTACAGCAGCAATAAATAATGTTTTAAAGATAAGAATCTAAATTAACAAATTTAAGATAAATGCATATGCATTTACTACTTTGCACTGAGTAGATGTTAGCAAGCCCTAGATGAAACCCAATTTTTAAATGTTCTAGTTGAATCTCAGTGTTAACAGTGTTTTTCTATTGCCTTTTCAAAAACTTAAAGAACCAACACAGCTGCTGCAAATACATTCTTGGACTATTACAACAAAAATGATTAAATTTATTAAAACAGAAATGAAATGGTAAATAGTTCATCCTAAATTATACACAGGGGACTTCCAATGATTGACCTCAGTGACATCATTGACTGGTGAGTGTGCCAGTGAGGCAGACGTATAATAAAATAGATGGATGGGACATGACGTTATCATAATGCTGAGTGATGCTCTTACCGTACTCCATGCTATTCTCCACAGAGTCCCCTGGCTCCAGTCTGCGTGCTCTCCGTCCATGTTTGGAATTGTTGTGGACAAACATGTTGTCAGACACAGCTAGGACGTGTCCGTCTACGCTCACAGTGCTGGACAAGACCACCTGACGGAGAGGAAAGGAGCCAAGAAAGTAAAAAGTTGAGTGTCGGTGACAGCACAGTGTGTGTCACGATATCTGGTTACAGCAGTAAAGTCCCTGAGCTACAATTAGTTGCAGCGTACAGGTGATGGTCATATTTTTCCTTGTGTAATATGACATCTCTGGGATTTCCATAACATGTACACATTCTGGTGATGACACAGCTCACACAGCTCCTCACCCCTCCATCAGGCCTCCAGATGTCCTAGCTATACTTGGCCTCTGCACTTTTTTTGATTCATACAGTGAGCAACAGGCTCGTTGTTGTCTCCGCCTCATCCTCCAGTGACAACGCACATATGGATCAAATCTTCCATTTTAGCCGCCTGTTAAAGTAGCGGATGATATATAGTGGAGCAAATTTGATTTTCTAGCCACAGCATGTGGGTGTCCATTGCCACATCTGCCTTGCATGAATCACATACTAATAATTAATAAGAGGTTTTTCACCTTGATTTTTTTTTATATTTCTAAAAGTATAATTATCAGATTGAAGACAGTACTCTGTTAGATTATAACAGAGTTGCATATTAAAAAAAACTGAAAAATTGTATTTAAAAAAATCACCTCCTTTAAAAGGATAAACACCTGGCAATAATTTTGCAGTTGAAGGCACTGAAGAAAGAAACGGGTGAAACAGCATCTGACGGTGGGTGGTTAAAAAGAGGGGGCAACCTGCGGAACTGTAACTGTAAATTATCGATCAAGCAGACAAGTGTCCAGCTCTGATCACTTTTTAACCCGAAGAGAATATTGTGAGCTCATAACTTATATGTCACACCAGAGGGGTTAAAACAAACATGGTTGACGGGCGGGGTAGCACGAACGAGAAGAAGAGGAAAAGACGGAGGGGTTTTTTTTTTTGGGAGGAGAATGCCAGACAGGGGCCGCTGGTGCTGGAAGACAGCAGAGGAAGTGAGGCGGGAGTGTCCCCAGTGACCACTTCCTGGGTCACGGAGCATGACCTCCTCCATCTGGAACCAATCACTCAATTCTTGACAACTTCCTGAAACACCTCAACCTATTTCCTGCACTCGAGCACCCCAAGAGCAGAGTCTCCCACATATCTAGATCCTCGAGATTATCTTTCCATAGATTTTTGACTTTCACCTCTAACTTGCTTTGCTTATTTAGTCTTTAGTGTAAGATGAAACATTTTTCTAAACTGAAAAATATTTAGATGTGTCCGAGGTTAGAGGACCATGTTCGGGTTCACGCTTAGGAGAAGCCTCACCATGTGTGAGTAGATGCTGGGGATCATTCAGTTCTAACTCTAAGCCCTAGTTCTCTTTTCTTTTCTTTTCTAAGTGGGTGCTGGTTGGTAGTTTACAGCGGGGCACGGCTGGAATTGTTAGCTGCTTAGACAGACTTCAAAGTGCCTTTTGGTCACGTTGAGGCCAGACGTCCGTCTCACCTCCCTGCGTTAGCCACATCACCAACACCAACACCAACACCTCGGAGCAAACTGAACCAGAAATCAATCTGTCAGGCGGGCAGTGTTTGGACGGTGAGCGTTAGTAGCGCTGTGTTAACCGTGAACGCACGGGAGAATTCACAGGTGGTGGAATTTACCCAGAGACATCGCTGTGGTTTTAGTTTTCCTTTTGAAAATTTATCTAGCTTGACGCACTGTGAATGTTCATGTGTGTGTGGGTGTGCGTGTGTGAGTGCACATACAGTCTCTTTCATTCCCACAGACGGTCCGCCGGTTTTTGTGCGCGCGACGCATCGACGCGGTTAAGTTAGCTATTGCTAAGGAGGAGTTCGCTAACATGGAGCGCTTGGGCATAGTGCGGCGTTCCAATAGCCCGTGGGCTTCACCGTTGCACATGGTGCCTAAGGCAGATGGGCCGTGGCGGCCGTGCGGCAATGTTCGGTGGTTGAACAACAACACCGCGCACGACCGCTACCCCATCCCACACATCCAAAACTTTTCCGCTCGCCTTGCGGGAATGAGAGGTTTTTCCAAGGTAAACCTGGTTCGCGGATATCACCAGGTTCCTATGCGCGCGGAGGACGTGCCTAAAACCTCAGTGATCACTCGTTTCGGGCTTTTCGAGTTTTTGCGCATGCCTTTCGGTCTTAAAGGCGCGGCACAAACATTTCAGAGGCTGATGGACTCGGTGTTGCAAGATCTCGACTCGTTCGTTTATCTGGACGACATCCTGGTCGCCAGCCCATCGACCGATGCGCACCGGTCACACCCGAAATCGTTTTTTCAGCGCCTAGACGACCACGACCTGATTATCAACCTCGATAAGTGCCAGTTCGGTTTGCCGGCCATCGTATTTCCGCGCAGGGAGTTAAAGCGTCAGTGAAACTCGTCAGCTAAAATATCTTCATATTCATCACATCATTAAATTAAAGACAATCGTTCAAACAAAACATTCACAGTTTACAAAAAAAATCTGCTTCATGCAATATTTCACATTTTACTTATTTAGTCTTTAGTGTAAGATGAAACATTTTCCGAAACTGAAGTGTTTAAATCTGTGTCTGAGTTTAGATGGCCACGTTCAGAGTCACGCTCACAAGAAGCCTCATCGTGTGTGAGTGGACACTGGAGATCATTCAGTTCTTCCTGAAGCCCTAGTTTTATTTATTTATTTTTTTTCACCTGAAATCTCCTCATGTCCCTGGGGTTTCCTGCTGTCTTCAGACAATTCTGGTTACATTTCAGGAAAAACTTCAAGAAAAACCTGCAAAGGTAAATGAAAGGACACCTGTTTATACATCAGTGCCAGGGAAATCAGATAAAAGGCACACATACAGTATATGAATATAAGCAATTCTGCAGCACACTGTAGCACTCAAAAGGGACATTAATTATATCTTTAGAGACAGGAAAAATGGATAGTAATAATCATAGTATATGATTACAGCTCTGACATCAATCCCTGATGTTTAGCTTACATTAAAATCAATGTTATTACACTTTAAATAAAGTAATGAGATTTTGAAGCACAGTCCAGTGAAAAGTGCTTGTGTTTCAAAGTAAACTGGAGACAGTGATGTATGCCAGAGGACTCAGGGGACCACAGTATCACACACTGCTGTATTTGAACCCCCATATGGGAATGGAGAGGGAAATGTAGTAGAGACAACTACAGAGAAAGTGAAATGAGGAGGTGGGAAGAGGGAGAGGGTGACAAAGACACAGTTGTTGGTATGGACATGAATTTTGTTTTCAAGTGCATGTGTCTCATTACGTATGTGAGCTCACTTTTGAATGTGATAGACTGTGGAAACACAGGCATGGGAGGGAGATGGGTGCTTGTAGCCCCTGCCACACCAAAGAAAACCTAAGAGAAAGGTGGAATAAATAGGACTGAGGGAGAATATGGAGAGAGACTAAATCCCAGGTGTACTCGGTTCGGCAACACAGCCCGCTGCCATGGCAACAAAGCTCTGCCGCAATCCCAAAGTCCCCATGCTGAGAGGCAAAGACAGCGATGGGAAAGAGAAGGTAACAACAAGAATGCATTCCATCACTGAAATTCAGCAAGCAGGGAGGAGAGAGACTTGGCGAGGTGAGAGACAAGGAAGTATATTAAGAGTGCATGTGCACAGGAGAGTGAGAGCGAGATCCACACAAATCTCATGGAGAGCAGAATTTACACAGAAGACGTGTCAAAGCAGAAAAGGAAAGAAAAATGAGCTGGAGAATAATGTAGGGTTGTGATACAATTATGGCAACTGGCAAATATAGACTCCTCCAAACAGATGTTCACTTCACAGTGAACACATAGCTCCTTTAAATAAAGTCGTTCCTTATCAACGACTAACAACAGAGACGGAGGAAAATGCAGCAGTGGTCTTGGACTTCATAAGTAGACCCAACACCATCCAGTCCGTCATTTTAACAGAGGAGTTGTTTGAAGAGAAACTTCTGACTGGCCCCATGTTCCAAAAACCTCCAGAATACCAACCTCTCCCTTATTCGATCTGTTTTCTCCCACTATTCTTCCATCACTGGCTCCAGCTTCCTCCCCTGTGAATGGAACCTGGCTTTGCACGTTGCTCTGGGTTCCAGAACTATGTGCAATATTTCTCCATCCAATCTATTTCATCATGGGACAATCAATATTGGTGTTGGCAGTGAGTGATTATAATTTATCAGCGAAGGCCAAGACCTTTGACCTCAGAGCTGCGCTAGACTTGAGTTTGGAGTGGAAACACGGAGAAGAACACATCTGTACTGCTCCCTCTTCCTTTATGCAATTCTTTTTTCCCATTGCTGCTTGATGTGTCATCTATCACACGGGCCATCAAAATATAAAGTTAAATGTGATTTAAAGGTAGAGAAGGGAAGAAGCCCCTTTAAAGGATTCCCCGTAGAATCATGCAGAAGTCCTGCCATCAGTCATTTTTAATAGACATCTTTGAGAGGGTAGTGGTCTGTTCGTATGCAGCGATGCTGCCCTGGGAGATGAGGAAGAGGAGTGGGATCAGCTCGCAGTCAAACCTCAGAGGGAGCTGATGCTTGTGTTAAAACCCAGCACTGATTTTTCTTTACATACATGTAAAATCAAACTAATGAAAGGAAACTGTCTAAAATGAAAGAGATCAGTGGTATTGTTGGAGGTGTACAGTACAGTTCCCTGGCACTCAGTGCTGACGTTACCGAAGGAGGCAGTATCTTTGGAACGCATGTGTCTACCAGAAAATAGTTGGACTTTACTTACTTAGGATGAAATTCACATTAAATATTTAATATTTAAACATTGAGCTCACTGACCAGAGCACTCAGAGTGCAATTATGGCACTCCCTGCTGGGGGAGAGGAGGAAGCTCAGGCTCTGTGTTTACCTACACTAACCTCAAATTCCCGCCCACTCTACTTTTGAAAACCACTGTAAATTTTATAAAAAGGAAAAGGAAAGAAATATATTTAGTTTCATGCCACAATCCAAAGTTTTACTACATCCATCAGGGGATTGAATATGTAAATTATAGCTTTAGTGATCATTTTTATATGATGACTCTTTCAAAGACTGGAGCAGTCAAATATAAGGGGATAATTCATGACGGCATGGGAACCATATTTCTGCTTTAATAACCAGGCACAAGGCCTGGCCATGCTGGGTTTTTTTCCCTCCATTCTGTTTGTATTTTTTGGCCTCCTAAAGTTGGCCTTACCACACATGCATCACTCATTTGACGGACTGACTTGATAAATATCTGACCCTGGTGCCTGGGATAGTAAAATCACAGCTTTAATTGAGAGATTGACTGCATCCATCTCAGGCTTTTCACACATTTCTGAGGGTACTTGACCCTGTTTGTTGACTTCTCCTCATCGCTCTCTGTTTGTTTGACACTAGAAGCCTCACTCTCTCATAGACACATGCATGCATGCACACTCTATTACACTGACACACCACCACCATCTTTGCCCCCTCCCAAAAACCCATTGAGTCAACTTTTCACCCCCCCAGTTCGGACGCACACAGCTGCAAATGCTGAAATTAAAGCGAGACATCAACGCATATATTAGCATGCATTAGCCGCTTCCCCCTGCCCACTTAACATGCAAATCTCCCAGCCCCGTCGCCTCGCACCTTCTGCCACACATTCATTTGCTGAATTATAATTAGACTAATCTTGCATAATTAATAAGAAGTTGAGGGCCCTCTGTTTTTATCCCCTCCTCTATTGTGGTTGCAAAAGTTTAATATTGCTGTTGTTTGTTTTTCGTTTAGTAATGTAATACACCCACACACCTCCCCATCCACGGGGAAGAGATAAGGAGAACATGCAAAGAATTGAAGGCGATCTTCGTGTTATAAGGCGACACTATTATCAGAGCTGCGCCGTGTCTTATTGAGCACATTTTACTTTGTCGCTTAATGCAATATAATAGAAAGGCTTCATGTTTTTGTCACCAGCCAAATTAATAAAATAAAAGACAAATCAGTCAAGTCAATACTGCTGTAACACAGCTTTACTTAATGAAACTTAAACTAGTAGTCAGGTGTTTCACTGAAACAAACAAAATGAACAGACCCAATTATTTTGAAAGTTAATTTTATAAAGATACAGTTTTCTATTAAAATAATCTTTCCAAAAATATCAAAAATTGTTGGGCCCCCAGTCTGCAAAAGTTACAGAAAAATGTAAATCAGGAGACAGACTTTCAGACAGTGGTAACATCAGTCTGTTGTGCAGCCCTGGTTTTTTTTTTACACAGCAAGAATGATCTACATTTCAACATGAAAAACGTCTAAATTTAGAACACACCACTTCTAAAACCGTGTGAAAGTGTATTTTATAAAAGTGTTGTGATTCACCACAAAACCTTTTAACTTTACTTTTTTATGTGTAATATAATAATACAAAGTGTTTTTTGTCTTTTTTAATTTTTTTAAATGCATCCCAAAATAAATGTCTTTTTCATTGACTGCACTAACTAACTCCTGTAAGAAGGGTTCTTGGTAATCATAAAAAAATCCACACCTGATGTACATAAAATAATTTGTGATTCTTGTGACAACATATTCACATTACTTTAACCAATATATGGTTGGTGAGCATTTGAAACTTTGGCAGTGCCTACATTTCACAGGCATACTTAAAACAAACATAGATCCCAGTGCTAAACCTCGGGATCGTTTTTCACCCTTCACCGCAGGGAGTCTGATTTTTTTTCTTTTCTGTTCCCACTTATGTGTCTCTGTTAAGGCCTTCCATCCAGTTTGTCTCAATACACCTCAGGACCCGAAACTAAATGGAAGACACTCATCGCAAAAGACGTAGCTAAAAGTAGCTAATCTAAAACTAGCCCAACGCTCGGACGACTGGTCAGAAAATGAATCAACAAGATACGCTTTTGTCAAACCTTTGGTCCTTGCGCAGGATACTCAGTTTCACATTTCTCAAATTTATGCCGCATCTGTTCCACATAAGTGTTGCTCACTAACTTTTACATATGGATTTAATCATGCAGTGAGAACCTAAGCCACATAGGTCCTCTAAAAAATGTCCATAGGCATTCATCAGCACTAATCACTGTTGACATAAACTGCCTTTTCTCATAGACATAAAACACATTGTCCTCTGTGCTTGTTGTAAGAAGTGGTTTAGTAGTAGCGGCAATTATTTATGTAGGGTGATAAGAAGGTTTTAATGCAAAGTTCAACTTGTTTACTCACGGTAAGAAAACAGTCAGCACTGTTGCCTTTGGCCGTCTGAGACTGAGGTAGTGCTCCACCAAAGAGAAATGTATTATTTACCACAAAGATATGAACGAAGAAAAGAAAGGTAAAGAATTTGGAGGAATGAAGACAAAGAGGTGGATGAGGAGAAGAAGAAGAGCAGAATTGTAATACATCTAAAGAAGGGACAAATTTAACGTTCTTCCTTAAATAATGCTTTTATACTGAGTAACATAATTTAGGTCAGTATTCTGGACATATATCTGCTGCTGAGGTAGCTTATGTAATAATGCTTTTGTACAAAAACCTTGTAAAATACAATTAAAAAAAACAAGCTTCTAAGGATTTACCCCCTAATAATCTAAGTCAGTGGTAAAAAACAAACCTGGTTTGTCTGGGTTTCTTTTAAACAAGTTTCCCGAAGTGTCCAAGCCTAGTTTTCAATAGTAAATCTCTGCAACCTGTTTTAATTCAATGATCTTGCACAAAGACCCTACTCTTCTGTTAGTGTCAGGGCTCGTGTAGTAAATACCATTCACCGTGGGT